AAGCACAGTTCAATTCAGATTAATAAATCTGATCAGAAAAATTGGTTTGGCATGTTGAAACCAGTTCTGTTTTACTCATTATATAAGAAACTTTATTTCAACACATTGATGTATGACAAATAGTGATGTGTTTTTATGCATTCATTCCTATTTTCTTAACTCTTTGTAAGGACTATAACACCTAGAGTCATAATCTACAAAACTTAACTTTAAACTAAAATCTATATTTTAAGAAATGCAGTAATCTGATTGGATAATAAAACTAAATTTAAAATCAATTTCAGTGATTAACCATTCAGATGACTGGAAAACTAAAATCATCTTCAAGTTAAGTTTTGGAGAATAAGACCCCTGATGGTACTTCTCTCTTTGGAAGAGTCCACTACTATACACCGTTACTATACATCTCTTACTCTTGATTATGCTTTGAACGAGATTTTGATTAACAGAATTGTCTAGCTTGTGCAGATTTCTTTTCCAGTGTTTTCATTTGATGTTTCAATGGAGTAGATGCTTCTCTGCTAACTGGGAGAAAGTCAATTTTAGCATGAAATAGAAGGAAATTTCATTCAAATTTTCTCCTAGGTTTCCTTCCTATCATATACATGGTGCAGAAAAGTAGGATGTAAAACTCTATTCATTTCATTTCATTTTCCCTCCTATTCATAGAAAGAAGGCCAGAAGCGAGGCAGCTGGTATGCTAGACTTCAGCCAATTGGAAAGCTTAGAATTTTCTTCAATGTACATTGTAAAATTGCTAGTTGGCTTGATTTATTTTCCATCTGAATAACTAGATAATATACAGATTAGATCTGTTAACAATTGTGTACGTAAAAGGAAATTATTAAATAGAGATAAATAAAGTTTTGTAACAAAATATTATCTATGTCTACATGTTTCATGACATAGTAAATATATATATATGTATATTTGGCCATGGGTTGTAGCACAGTTGGCTAAACATTAGGAATCTGTACATGATGTCATTTGCCTGGTTACATCGACAAATTCTAGTTATAGGTTCTAATGTCAGGCATGATGTCCAAAATTTTTAAACTTCCAACTTTATTTTGAAAATTTATCTTATTTCAGAAAAAGCAACTACAAGAATCAAAAATGGATGAAACTTTATAGAAAAATTTTTTCGAAGAAAGTACAATTCGTTCTAAAAGTTTATTCTGTTTCTGAAAAGCATCATGAAATAACAATAAATGTGAAGATCATAAAATAATTTTTTTAAAGAAAATGTGTCATGACACAATAAATTTTTTTTAGTCATATTTTGTAATTTGAAATTTTATAAATTGGAAATCTACAATCTACAGAACACTTTTTAAATATTAGTGGAAATCTACACATAATTAATTGTGCAGACACTATCTATGGTGGTGGAAATCTACAGATATACAATTGTAAAGACACTTTCTATAAATTGGAAATCTATAATAATAAACAACCTTATAAATAGATGTGGAAATCTACATGTAATCAATTTGGATGGTAATCTATGATATATAGAACACTTTATAAAAAGAGTGGAAATCTACACATAATAAATTGTGGTGGCACTATCTATATGGTGGAAATCTACGATATATAAAAGAGTTAACATCTACAATCTACAGAAAACTGTATAGAAAATAGTGGAAATCTACATCTTAATAATTGTGCTGGCACTATCTGTATAGTGAGAATCTTCAATCTTTAGAAAACTAAATACTTAAGTATAACATTTAAATAAGATTGGAAAACTACATTCTTACTAAAAAAATCCTCATAAATAAAAGTTGAAATCTACAATAGATAACTGTTTTTTTTAAAATCTCTGACTAAATTACTGAATTATAAAAGTGGAAATCTACAAATAATTAATAGTAATAAACCTATCTATGGTAGAAATAACTAATAAACTTGACTCACTATAGATCACTATGAGACAAAACTGGAAATCTACAAATTCATAAATACTCAGTCTAACAATTGATGCATCTACATAAATCATAACAAAAAACACAAAAGAATATCATACAATATAATACAATATATGACACACTTCTTCGAAAGTACATTTTTTACCTACATTTATAGATAACAGTACAACTCTAGAGTGGAAATCTACAAAATGATAGTTCTGCTGACTCAAAGAGTGGGGTAAAATCTGGGTCAGACTCCAGCAGAATTTTCCCATCAACTTCACAGCCTCCACAATTACCCCCACAATATCCCTCAATCACATGACCATCTGGTGACCAGGTAATGTTAGCAATCACCCCAGCTGTACCCCAAGTTTTCCATTTAACTGATGTTTTAACTTTGTAGCCAGTGTTACGAGTATTGATAATAAATCTTCCAATGACACCACATTCACTACTGTTGTCTCCAGCATAGCAATCCCCGGCTTTTCCAAAGTCCTGAAGACTGTACGTGGAATTACTAGACCCTGGACTATTTATCTTTGCTCAGAGGATTCAGTATTACTCTTGTCATTTGATAATCTGTATAACCCATATCATGCGCCTGTGGCTCTGGTTCAGGAATCAAGTCACATGATCCAGCAGTTCTTTTGTATGCAGGAGTTGATGCCATGTTGTATTCTGCTAGTAATATTGAAGGGCCAATTGCGTTTTTACAATGGACCTTCTGTCGAGTCTCAGTAGCAATCAGGAGGAGCCAGTAAAACTTCTCTTCTTGTGGACCACAGACTGAATTATCACCACATTTAGAAAAAGCAGTACACTGAAAGTCACTCCATTGGCCTGTACTCAAGCAAGTAGCATTAGTGCGGGTAAAAAAGCCTTGTTCACAAGCATACTCTACAACTTCTCCAAAATTCCACAATAACTTACTGTAGAAGGAAGTGACATTGATATTATCTATTTGTGGTATTAAACACCCTAATGGTATACAGGTATAGTTATCATCTTCTACCACACACAATGTATTATAAGGACAGTTATGATCTTTACATACACCCATCATGTTATCATTCCATTTATAAGACTCTATAGAAATATAATCATTGTCAGTGATCAACTGACCTTCTACTGCCAGGAGTGAGCAATCTAGAGTCCTTTTGTTAAAATTCACAAACTTACATAATCCACATGATTTGCATGTTCTAATACAATCAACAGGTCCTATTGAAGCCTGGACTAGAAAATATTCAGAATCAAATCTAGAGTCCATATGTACATCAGAAACAGTGTCTGGATTAAAACATTGGTTCCCTTTACAAATATCTAATACTTCTATCATCACTATAATTACTAATAGCATTTTGCAACCATATCCGAATTTCAGTTCACCCATCATTATATCTCGAAAGGGTATATTAGTCCTGATGCTGTGCCTTTATCAGTCCTGATTCTGTGCCTTTATCAGTCCTGATTCTGTGTCTTTATTATTCTTGATGTGCTGTGTCTTTATTAGTCCTGATTCTGCAACTTGTTAATTTCCTTAACCTCTGATAATCAGCATAGAGTCCTAATTGCCGCTTGATGGTTTCTAGCGATATTGTTCCTATGATGATTAAGAAAAATAAATAAACCTACTATTGTACTCACTGATCGATTTTAAATCAAGATTGATTTTATATTTGAGAAAATTGCGATTTAAAGATAAGTTCCCTCAATTTCACAGAGTTACAAATAAAAATAAATGGAGTTTTATTTATTTTCTATTTTTCTTTTCCAGATATGGGGTGAATGAACACAGTTTAATCTCGATTGAAGAATTTGATAACCAATTGGTTTCACATAATTCATCATTTTACATGATAATGGACTGCCTTCCACCCTCTTAGATTCTTAGAAAATACCATTAGGTCAATCAATTAAAGTTTAAACTGAAAGACAGTGGGAACCCCGCATTTATTGTAAATCCATACGATGTTAAGAAATCAGAAAAGAAAATTGATTCGATGGTATCTTGTTTTATTAATAGAAAGTTCTAAAAATCATTGATTATCAAAAGTACTTTCTTTTTATCCTGTTAATTTGCTCAAGGCAATCCCATAGTGACATGGGACAAACATTAATTTTTCTGGTTTTTTAATGTGTTTTAAATACATTGTAATAAACAGTGTACTTTGATGTAAGTCTAATAGTTCAATAGTTACACTAAATAAAAAGTGAATTTTCCATTATAATAGGGTCGTATATATTGTCCGTCCATCCATCCGTCTTTCTGTCAGTCCACAATTGGATTGTGAACACAATAGAGGCTACAGTTTTTATCTGATTTTAAACAAATATGGAGTGATCATTTATATTCATGAGTTCTTTGAATTTGTTTGTGAACATCTGACCTGTTTGATATCTGTAGGCAAATTTTGTGTCATTGGCGATTGTTTTCCACTACTTACGAAGAGACAAGACTCCACAGAGAGACATCATCCAATCAGTCTCTATATTGTATTACAGTACATGGTTAATACACAGTCACATGACACATAACATTACAAAATGAGCCCAAAACAACCAACTGGTGATTTGAATCAAGTACCCACAGTCTTAAAGGAATTGTAAAGAGGCTTTTTGAATTCTTAAAGGGATTGTAAAGAGGTTTTCTAAATTTTTTATGTGTATCGGGAAGACTGATAGCATCAATTTGCACTATTCCAATTTCTAATGCGACGTCTGTGTTTCCTGAAATTCCACTTCAGTTAAGTGTTTTATGACGTCACGAATCGCATATTCCTAAGTGATACAGCATGTATATGTTGCAATTAGTGACAAAAGGCTTATTCTTAGTGGAATTGCAGGAACCACAAATGTTACTAACTCCATACATCTGCTCCTGGATTAATGAAACAGACAATCCTGTGCAATGGACAATAAGGTAAATTCTGTCTGTACAATGATCCACCTTCTCTTTCTATTTCAACTGTAGACGGATCTTCATTGTACACAGCCCTTGGCACACAGGGCCTTGATTTATTCTGACAATTTAATGTTTATACAGCTTTTCTCAAGTCACAAGTTAATTGATAAAATGAATACCTGTTCAGCATAAGCTTTACCAATTCCATCTGTACAACCAGTAACAACTGAAACATAATTTAGGAAATATATCTAATATCTTGTCTTTGTAAAGGACAGGTTTGATTTTATTCAAATGTGCAGAAAGGGGGCATTAGCTGAGGCCAATAGCTAGCCCACTGTTTCTTGGGGGTGGGGGGGGGGTGATTACAAAGTTTTTCAAGGGGGCCTCAACTATGAGACTCAACAAGACATTCAAATTTTTCATTCACAAAAATATCTTACGGGTCTGCATAAGATGTATGATACTATATGTTACCCTGTTACTATTATATGAAACTCTAACTATAAATTGACCTGGCAACCTGGCACAGTTTATACCTTTTATATAAATAGATTAAACATTGTAACCTAAAACTATCAAAAACATTTCTATATAGACTTATATTATATAGGCTATACAGATTCCATATATAGCAGTTATTACATTTTATATCAGCTTACAATTGATTATTTCATTATACAAAGTTGTCAATTAGAGCACAATATTCAAAAGAATAACAAGTTTTAAACACAGCTGAGAGGTAATACGTTATTATTCTGGGACTAAAGGGAAGCAACTAGTTTATGATTTTGTAAAAATTCTTATTTGAAAATATCTTTCTGGAGTAAAATGTGGGTTCATTTTAATTTTAGATACAAACACACTTCTCTCCAAGTGAATTCACAGATACATGACTTACACTTTGCACCTTAATTAAATGACCCTCCACTTGCTGCCCTTGCTCTTGAGTCACTGAGATTGAAACAGATTGCAGAGTCAAATGTGGTAAAAATGAGTTCTAAATAATGCCTGATATGTTCATCTACATAAAGACAATCCAAATTGATGTCTAACACAGAAGAATTACAATTTATGTCAAAATAATGACTTGAAAAACTTAACAAGGATGTTTGAGAGCAGAATAATGTCTATAGTCCATAGTTCATCCGTAAAATTGCTGTATAGTTACCTGCCCAACTACCAGCTTTCTTCAAATCAGCCGACAAACCGAGTAAACCCGCTAAAACATAGGTTGAAATAAACCTAAATACGCCCAGAGCAGATTTAAACGCAATCACAGACGCCGTTAAGACACCAAACAAGGTAAAAAAATCGGCAGAACTGCCTAAGCTTGACACAACTGATCGGAACATCGCCATGCTTGTTATCACCATAAGGTTAAAGGTCGAGAAATATCACGTGATGTTAAGAGCTACGAGGAATTTATTTGTGGTCTTAGTCATATTCATTTAAAGAGTTATCTACCTCACACTGGTCTTTTTACTCCGAGACCTCCAACTTCGGACTATTGAGTTTGATTGGGTTATCTCCTTGAATTAATAAATAGGACGATATTTTTTCCTCGCCCTCTCGTCTTCATTGCTTTGCCTTCTTGCCCTTTTACTTCTTCATTTTCCTATTGAAAATAGATCTTTAACGCGCTCGATGGGGTGGCCCTTTTTTCATTCCATAGATTAGGTAACATATTAAAGATGGGTTCCCTTATTTTCATTTATGAAAATGAAAATGCTAATACCTATATGAATAGAAAGTAAAGGTGTTCTAATGACTTGGAAAAATACCAGTTTGTCTCATATGTCCATAATTAATTGGTAATTAGCTAAAATAGGAGAGAATTACCAGCAGAATTCCAATGAGTGACCGATCAAGAAAGGTCAAAAAGTATTTTTTTGTTTGTTTATCTAGACTGTACATACATGGACATTTACGATTTGTTAAAACTCTTAATTATATGCAATAAGAACATAATGATATGATTAAGAATACATGATAATTCATTAGAAACACCAATGAATCAAATAGTTTGCTTAATTTGACACAAAAAATAAGGAAACCCATCTTTAATATTATTCTAATCATAATAAATATATCAAATATAAACATAAAAATCACAATTAGATTGACCAACTAATAATTTTAAAGAAGCGTTTACCATCTAAACTGGCTAATAAGTGGATTAACTATGTTTCAAACCTCACAGACCTCACACTAGAAATTTCTCGATCTTAATTAGGCCTATATGTTTTTCTATATGGCATAGAATCAATAAAAGTGTTCTAACTTTTCAAACGCAGATAATTCTGGACACACGTGGATTTGAAGGCTCAAATGTCGACGATGAGCTGTGAACACTGTTACTGGTTTGCTCAGTCTAAAAAAAATCTCTTTCTCAGACTAAGGGAGGATTTGACCGAAACATCCTGTCTCTCAATGCTGTCGGCAGAGAGTCAGACGACCAGCCAATTTGGTTGCGTTGAAATATTCTTCTTCCTTGATCCTTCCTTCCTCTGAAATACGTAATATTATATAGAGTCAACTTGTCGGTCTAGGTAGGATTGGTCCCTTTTAAGGTATTTTTTTTCTATATACAGAGGCCTAAGGATTTTGAGACTAAGGTCAAACTGATCCTAAACGTGTACCTTTAAAGATAATTATCAGTAATCATATCAATATTCTGGGCTAATTATGGTTAATTTCAACAATTAGTAAATTTATTATATGTTCTGGTTATTTCTACCGAATTCCACTCAACATACAGGATGAAGATTGTTTTCGTTTTCTTTCTCACAGGTCTGTAAATTTATTTAAGTTTGAACCAAAGAGTTATATTACAATCTGAGTTTGTAAAGCGCCATTGAATTGTCATATCAATAATCTTTCTGTATATTTTAATAGTTTGTGTGGTTATTTTCTCCTGTATATTTAATAGTTTGTGTGGTTATTTTCTCCTGTATATTTAATAGTTTGTGTGGTTATTTTCTCCTGTATATTTTAATAGTTTGTGTGGTTATTTTCTCCTGTATATTTAATAGATTGTGTGGTTATTTTCTTCTGTCTATTTTAATAGTTTGTGTGGTTATTTTCTCCTGTATATTTAATAGTTTGAGTGGTTATTTTCTTCTGTCTATTTTAATAGTTTGTGTGGTTATTTTCTCCTGTATATTTAATAGTTTGTGTGGTTATTTTCTTCTGTCTATTTTAATAGCTTGTGTGGTTATTTTCTTCTGTCTATTTTAAGAGTTTGTGTGGTTATTTTCTCCTGTATATTTAATAGTTTGTGTGGTTATTTTCTCCTGAATATTTTAATAGGT